TGACATGTGTCATATTTACGTGCATTTTATAGTGATTTTCGTGTCCGTTTCGTCGTAGTTTAATATATAATTAGTTATTATGTAATTAATTATTATATAATTAATTATATATTTAATTAATTTTATTAAGCTATGATGAGGTGTTTTATTTTGAGTTTTAACAGGAAACGGGATCGAAATAATTTTTGGAGTCGAGAACGGTGAGAAAGGGACATAAAAGGAGCACTAGTTATGCATTGGAAAAGGCCCAAGTAGACAGCCCACAAGAACAACATGATAGCTATTTTATTTAGTTTATTGGGCCGAAAAATCTGCCCTTAATTGTCCATAACAGCAACCCAAACAATATGGCCCAAATCACATTAATGGAGGGTGTAGTAGTCATTTCACCATGAGAGATGTCCTTCTTCACCATCTTCCTCACGTAACTGCACGTCATCTCTGCCATGGATGAGTGCCGGAGCTTAGCTGCTCATCCACCACCTCGCCGCCGGAGCACCTCGACACCAACTGACTGCTCGCCACTGTCCCGTTAGACTTCAGATCGACCTCTGCCACCTGCTACGGTCATTGGAGAGGAGAAGACGCACGGCCATGCTTACGCCAGAGAAAAAGCGGGTTAGCCGGAGCTGACCGGAACTCGCATAGACAGCGACCTGGACGTCTTCTGACCACATGAGATGCCGGAAATTCGATCAAGAGCATTTATAGACGCTGAAAACGACGATTTGAGGCTATTTTTGGTGCCCAGGTACACACGGGTCGTGTGAGCCCGAGACACGACTCGTGTTGATCCGACGGGTCGCTAAATGAGCTCTCGACTTTGTCACACGACTCATGTGGCTTATGACACGAGTCGTGTGGCCCTGGAAGCATCAAATTCGGATTTTGCGCGTTTTCCTATTTTTTCGGTATTTTCGACCTATTTTGACTAGGACTCGACCTCAACTCTTTATATAACACTTGGGCACGTTTTTGGAGGAGTCTTGGACATATTTTCAGATCTTGGGAGACTTTTGGAGGCTAGAAACACGAGCAAGACGAGGGAGAAAGCTGGGAAGAAGGGATCGACGGAGCCGAATAAGCTTTTTCTTTCTTTTTCTTCTCCTCTTTCGAACTCAATGTTTTATATCTATTTTTATTATTTTGAAAACATGTTTCTAGGCTAGATTTATTTTAGATTCTAGGATTTGTTAGTACTCGGATTGATTTATGATTTAGTTTTTATTGCTTTCATTCCGGTTTATCTTTCGTTTATAAATTTCTTGTGCTTATTATTATTGTGTGAGTAGATGGCTACTATGAATGCATATTTGTGATCGATTTGAGACCGAGAGGAGATAATTGATTGCTAGAATTGGGAGATTTATAACGTAAGAGAATAAACAGACCGAGAGGTTGATAGGACCTTGCGAGAGAACGAAAATCCTAGGAACTTATGGGAGTTAGTTGTTCATCTTGAGACCGAGAGGAGATAGATAACAATTAATATCTACGATTTGACTTGTTCGAGAGAAAGGTTTGAAATCAATTTAGCGATTATCTCTACGATTGGTAAAATTAAATAAGGTTTGTTTGAATATAAACGTTTCATGAATTAATCCGAGGAACGCTTAGCCTAGAATCTACCTTTTGTTTCTTTGTTTATTTTTATTTTTATTTTTAGTTAGATTAGTTCTTAGTTTAATTTCTTAGTTAATAATCATCATCCAATTCATTAGTCTAGATAATATTTAGTCGTCATTATTTTAGTACGTAATTAATTTAACTACAATCTCTGTGGAATACGACCTTGCTCGCCACTACCTATAGCTACGCCGTACACTTGCGGATAGCGAAAATAATTAGCGAACAATGGGAGGAAAGACTTGAGAATCAAGTCGATGGATCTCGTCCTCTAAAATATCATCAATGTCTCACTGGAGCACATCATCTTCTTCATCGACTTCACACATTTGCTTAAGATTTCGAGCTTGAGCATCAAGCATAGGATGGGGATCATCGACTTGTGCCTCGATTGAGCCAGTATGTGTTGTAAGAATCTCCATTTGTGCACTCAGTCGAGCACATCTGATCTCAATCTCTTCATCTCGAGTTGTTAGGGCAGATATGCGAGCAAGAATAAGGTCGAGTTTTTCATCGTACGTCAAAGTAGCCTCCCGAGGTTCATTCTTATGTGTAGATTCGCCTTGAGCGGTGGGCTCGGGAGAGAAATTGTTAACACGATCCTCTAAGGCTTGCACACGCTCCATAAGGTTCTCGATTCTGGACTCAAGATTACTCCTACGGGCCTCTTGAGATGCCAAATAGGTGAGATCCTGATCGAGATTTGCATTATACTCTGAAGAGTCCTCCAGTGACTCATATGACTGGTCGACAGTACGGAATCCCATTGCTGCTCGTAAGGATATGACCAAGTTCGGCCATAGTCCCAAGAATTGTAGTATGGAGGTGATTGATTCAGATGGGCACACCAGGTTGCAGTCTCTTCTTCTTGAGCTAACCAGGATGTTGTAAATGCATAGATACGGTCGAGCTTCTCGTTAAACTCGTGGGACTCATAATATTGCTCGACCGGGAAGGGGTCCCAGTGTTGCTCGGAAGAGTATGCATAAGACTGGTTGTGGTACCCAGCGTGACAGCTCAGCTCGTTAACCGAAGGTTGAGTGTGCAAATAGGGGAACACACAGTTGTAGTTCATAATACCTGCACACAAAACAGAACAACCACATGTAGCCACGAAAAAACAGAAGAAAGAAGACAAACAAAAACAAATAGAAAAACAAAGATGCGCAAAAGAAAAAACAAAAACACGAAAAACACAAAATAAAGAGAAACATACAAAATAAAATCAACACCAAAACCAAATATCCTACTTGCCTTCCCCGACAACGGAGCTAAATTTGTTGTGTACAAATTGTTATTTTTATCGAGTACTGAATCGAATGATTCGTTCCTCGGGTCGATCTCTCGAGAAAGGCGGTTCAGAATTTAGAAGTGGTGTTGATAACACATAAAAGGAAAACAAATCCTAAACATTCTAATCAGATAGGGTAGGAATGGATTATTATCTAAGAAATAACATAAGAACATAAATCCTAAAATACCTAGATAACGACAAAGAAGCTAGGGAATCGGGGATAATTTATTCATGTTTCAAACGTAAAGCCAGGCAATTAATTGTTCGGTTCGGAATTGACACTATCGCCTAAACATCTAGCGGTTCGCTCCCAATAACTTTTCGTAACAAGGGATTGAACATAGATGAGCAAGTTCGAGCAAACAATACCGGCCAATTATCCAATCACAATAACTTTTCGTAACAAAGAACGGATCATCGACAAGCACGTATTTCAATCCAAACCTAAAGACTATCCAATTACGAAATCATCTATCTCATGCGAGCCTAGGTCTACGATGCCTCCCCTTTCGATTCTAAGAAGTCGCTAATTCAATTAGAAGAGTATCAATGAACTAACCCTTTAGAATAAACAAAACTCTAACTCAACAAATTAACATTCAATCGTTTCCAATTGCAAGATCGAAGTGTCACTCTTAGATTATATCAATCAATAAGACAAGAATTCATCAATTCCTAATCAAATTAACTCGCACAAGAACGAACAAATCAAGCCCAACAAATACGAATTAAACAAGAACAATCATCCCCTATCCCTAGCAATAAGAATTAGCTAAATAAGATAAATTCAACACAATCAATCATTCCTCTCAAATTAACCATTTTCATGAATTAATCAATAGAGAAAAGAATCTTACAATCAATTCAATTCCAAGTGTTGAATTCAAAATACAAGCTTAATCATTGAATGTTAAGAAGAAGAAGAAGAAAAATGGAAGAAAAAGATTAAGAGAAGAGGAAGAAACGAAAAGAAGAAGAAGGGAAGGAGAAAAGAGTTCTGTGGTGTTTTCCCGATCCTAGGGTTTTCACCCCGGAAGAGAGATTAATTTCTGAAGAGTCCCGATGCACATATATATAGGAGCAGGGTCCCGCGGCGTGAAGAAATCGCAACACAGTGTGGGTGCCGTGGTGTGGCTCGTTTCCGCGGCGTGGAGGTATCCAGTTGGCGCGGCGCGAAGGCCACTGCGGTGTGGCGCTGGAAAGGAGGCTCTCTGCACGCCTGTGGCGGGTACCGCGAGGCAGCGCACGGCATGGAGAAACAATTCTGGCGCGGCGTAGAGGTTACCGCGGCGCGGGGCGCGCGATCTACCGCAGCACGATGGACTCCCGCGGCGTGGTGCTTGAGTAGGGCTATCTATTGGCAAGGTCATGGCGGGGCGCGCGGCGTGGCAAGCACGGGGCGCTGGCCTGACTGCTAGCTTCCGTGCACGATTTTGCGACTCAGGTTCGTTCGGGTTCATTTGGACTTAGAATTGGATTTCGTTTTTTCTTGCTTGTCGCTAACTAATCCTTCTACTTTATTATCCTTGCACGACCATTTTTTTCCAAAAATCTGGTGCTCTCGAAGCTTCCGACCTGCACACCTAAATCAAAGAAAAATCGAAAAAACACATGAAAAACACATAGGAAACCAAAATTGAGCAAAACAAACAATAAACTACAAAAACGAATACAAACCAACGAAAAGACCTAAAACAGGAGAAAAAGAAAGACAAAACAATAACGAAAAACGCAACAAAAATGGGACAAACACGGGACAACGCAAGTTCTTCTTGTAGAGCAGCTTTCTAAGCCTTTTATTTAGGAACCCTTTTCGCCGAGGCGTGAGCCTCCTAGCGCCTGTTCGAGAGAGATGAGTTTTCCTCAGCCGAGGTCATGCTCAACCTCCATCTAGGAGTAGCTCTCTTTCAACTCCCGTACCTAGCCGATTTACATGCAAATGTTCATCAGCGCGTGACCAAGAGCGCCAGCGGTGAACCTGAGCCGCTCATGCACGAGAATGGTCGACACCCCTGCTCGGCATCAATATCCCATCTCATTAATGGAAACTGAGCCGCATCCATTATGTGCTCGAGGAAGTGTAATTCAGTAGGTAAATCGAGTGGATCAATAGACTAGAACCGGGAATACCAGCCGGATTCCACTCCGATCGCCTCGGCCACCTTTTTCTCCTTCTCCAAGTTAAGTGGGAGAAAAGTAGTGGCCCCATCTTGGTGGACGGGAGCATATTTTTCACCGACCAATATTCCATCCAACCGCAATGTTTTACCCGTACCCTTCTTGGATCCTTTAGGCGGTGCCCGCTTCATCGTTTTCTTCTTTTCCGGGCATGCCCTTTTCTCCAGCGAATCTCCACCATCTCAACCTTGTCTAGTTGAGAGACGATCAAAAGGCTAGAAGCAAATCCTGAATAGTGACCTGGCCCCCATTGGCTTCAATGACCCTTGGTTCAACTGGAGGGAGCTGGGGGACGGTGACAGATGGAGCCCGCTGCTTAGACGTGGGGGTCGTACCTAATCTCGTCCTGTTCACCCCTTTCAGTTAACGAATAAATGCGGTACAATCTATACTCACTTTCTTCTTCCCCTTTTTCTTGAGGTGGCGCCGATCTAATTGTAGAGCCTCGTTGAGGGTGGAGAAACCCCTAAAGCCGGTCAGTGGATAATAAACTGTCAAGATAAGAATGAAGACCAGAATGACTTATCTGTTCGAGACAAAAAAAAATGCAAAGAAAATTACCAACCGCCTGATGACCGAATGTGCTATTAGGCGAGCATAATCTACTGGATTGGAGAAGACTATTGGTGGACAATTTCTTCCAATGTCGATTCGATTCCCCAATGTCGAGCAATGGTTGAAGTTTCTCAACAAAGCTGTCACTGAGTTCTGAAACTGTCAAGCATCCCTTTTTTCTACAAAGACCGTAAACTGACATGTTAGCGCATAATGTGAAACATATCGAAAAGATGGAAAGGGAAGAAAAAAAGACTCACCGAAACAAGTAATAAAAGCAGTAGATACGGGATAGCAAAGTTTTAACTGCCCATCTTCTCCCCGAGTAGACGATTGCCAATCGCCTCCGATCTAGAACCACTCGGGTTTGAAACCTTTTAGGGTCTCGGGTACCCCTTCAATCACACTAGAGTAGGGGTGAGCATGGGTCGGTACAGTTCGGAAATTGAGAAATATCTGGAACCGTACAGTTCAGAGAGAATTGAAAAAATCTGGAGATGAGTCGGTATAGTTCGGAGATTGAAGAAATCTGGAAATTTCCCTCCAAAGAGGAAATTTGAACCTATTTGATCATTTGATCATTTGATCATTTTTAATGCTTAATGTGAAACAGTGCGTACTTAAACCTATTGTTATTAGACATATTTATACATGTAATTATGTAAGATTCGTTGGTAAGTTTTTAATATAATTTGTATTGAATTTTGCGTAGAACTTCGAGAAACCTCTTGATTTCTTCTATTTGTAGTGCAAAATAATGGTTTTTTGTTCAGCTCAAATATTGGGTACGTGGTATTTGACCAGATACCTCCAGTCGTTGTTTTAAATTTTAGGCTGCAATTCTAGTTGAAGAATATCAGAATGATTATATGGAGTATTTAATTTGTCTCGAGAATATTTGCAGGTGCGGGTTTAATATAATGCGCACAACTTCTTGTTTGGAATATTGGCTTACAAAATAATCATCATATATGGGCTCGAGAATTTCCCACTAATTTGTCATATGTTGTAGACTCACACACACTAAGATATGCTTGCTTAGCGCAACGTGGGTAGACTAAGATATATATCCGCCAACTGCATGTCAAAATTTTATAATTTTTTATCCATATATTATATTATATTAATCATTTACCTCATCAGTTGATGGTATACCGCATATTAATTTGTTCTCACCTTAAATACGAGAGCGACACTGTTAAATATGCTTGAAAGGGTGGATTAGTTCAAGTAGTACAATTTATTCTTATACTTGCCGGTCTATTAGAAGTGTGTTTGATAAAAGATAAAATATTTTATTTATAGCTAGCTTATATCATTACTTTTTAAATTTTTTTATTCAATTATATTCGTTTTATATAATGAACTTTGTAAAGAGTTCAAGCATATTTTAAATACTTCTAGTTTTAAAAAAAAAAAATTATTGAGATTTCAATTTTACTAACTTATCTATTATTTTATTAAACAATGTTATTATATCAACTGCCATTTATTCAACAATGGTCACCTATCAATTATTAACTCAAAATTAATTTATCAACTCAAAATTAACTGTAAATTTAATTTAAAATGTAATTATGAAATAAAATATCAACGAGATTTTCATTTAAAAACTATCAAACGTGCATAAATATTTAATCGGTTTCATGTAACTACTTAATGACAATCAATGTGGACGGGCAGACTGAGAGCATCTCCAATGGTCATTCTATTTCTCTATTTTGTTGTCAAATGGCACAAATAATCTTATGTGACTTGAAAAAATTTTAGAAGGCTTTCTAAATGTAGAAGCTTTTCTAGACAACTTCCAGTATATTAGTATATTTATTTAATTTATTTATTTTCTTCAACCAATTAAAATTTTACACATCACAAATGATACCACAATTAACATCAACCACTGGAGATATAACTTTTTAGTTTTCATTCTCCATGTCATACAACACAAAATGGATCATTTTCCATTGGAGATGCTCTGAGCTTGGGAACCAAAAGGACTATAAACGACTTTCTATTGTCACCGAAAAGGTAC